CAGTTGTATCGACAGTTGGTACAGTTGGTCGCTTGAGCAGTCGCAAAGTAAGAATTGACCAATCGCAGTCGATTATTCTTACGACTACGACTCTGCGACTCGCATTGTAGACAGAACCGAGAATCATTGTAGCGGAGGCTTAAAGCCTCCGCTACAATGATTCTCGGTTCTGTCTACAATGGTCGTAGTCGTAGTCGTTCTGACTGAATTGACCAATCGCAGTCGATTATTTTTACGACTACGACCATTGTAGACAGAACCGAGAATCATTGTAGCGGAGGCTTTAGGCCTGGTCTACAATGAGTTGTTAGTCGTTAGTCAGAAGTCGGAACTATATGTTGATCCTTTTCCTTTCTGGGTGGAAGAAAAAGGATCGACATATAGTTCTGACTTTCGACTAACGACTAACAACCCATTGTAGACCGGGCCTTAAGAATTGACCAATCATAGTCGGCTATTCTTACGACTACGACTTTACGACTTCTATGTAGACGCGGCTTTAGAAAGAGGCGAAGAGTGAACTAGGCTAAAGTTAAAATCCCGCGGCGTAGGTGCAACCTGACCTGACCTTGGGCTTAAACATGTCTCCTTAAAAAGAGACAAAGGATGAATTAAACCAAGATCAAAGTTAAACGACGTTGGTGAAAACCAGAGTAGTGCCCGTTTCTATCAACGCAGATTAACTTTAATCTCGGCACGACTCACTTTATGTCAGTTTCTAGTTTAAACATTGGAACAAGATAATTTCTCTAATTGTAAAAAGATAGTTCAAACATTAGAGAAAGATAATTTAAGCGAAGATAAAAATTCATCTGTAGTTGTGGAAACGAGCACATTAATCGGTATTAATTAAACCGCCGCAAGGCAGTTACCGAGCTTACCTTCCACGTAAGTACTAGGACGCTCCCTGCCCACCGCCACGTTACTCCTTCGTACCACGGTGGTCTCCTGGACCGCCCGAGCCAGATCGTCCGCGACGGGCGGACTCTCTGCCCTCTCGACCAGCACGTCCGCGCGGCGGTCGTCCTCATTGATGGAGGCTATCTCGGACTTGACCGAGGTGCGGCTCAACGTCGGGGAGAGCCGGCTGACGGTCAGGCTCTGCGGTGGCGTCCTGCTACGCTCGGTCATGGCGCAGCACAGGGACAGCTTGGTGCTGGTCTGCGAGCCGTGCTGCGAGTTCTCGATCTTGGAGTTCCTGTTCGAGTCCCCGTCCCTGTACGAGGACTCCAGGCAGCCGACCTTGGTCTTCTTGTTCATCAGCATGCGGCAGAGGGACTTTTTCTTCTGCTTCGACTTCGGGGAGACCTCTACCTTGTTCGAGACGCCGGACACGTCGTTCCCCTCGCTCTGCTCCATAATACTCGCGGATGGTGCATCAAGCGTCAAGAATCAGCGAGCGACAACCCTCTTTCTCCTCGGAGATCAACAATTTCTACGCGTCTCTCTTTCTCTCTCTCTACTGCTTACGAGGGAAATTCTCTCTTACTCTATTCGCGATGTGTTTGCGCGTCGCGAGGTGTATCGTAGAAAAAAAAACTAGTTTTAGAGAACGATCGGCTCTCGGCGAAATAGGAGAGGTACGGGTTTACGTGCGCGATCCGTACGAAGTGAAGTACATTCAATATCCGAGGCGTCTCGGCGCTTCAGAAATATCCGCTCGCACTTCACCGACTGTCAGAGCGTGGCATGTAATTTCCGCGGGGCTCAAGCGCGACGCGTCCCGCGAATGTACACGAGCATAATGTGCCGTTGCGGCACGAGTGGCCCCCCCCCCGGCCTCTCCGTGTTAAGTCGAACGTTCAGTCATGCGGGAGGATATCCATGGTGATACCGGGTAATCGCACTCGGGCGGGCATCGACGGGGCGATACTCCGCGGACTAGAATGACTAGAATCGAGCGCGTTCTCCCTCTTACCCCCGCGAGGGGGACGACCCACCGGGAAGGACCCTCTCCGCACTCGGGCTTTACGAGCTACGTCGAGCGGTGGCCGCGCGGCTGACGGAGTCGTCGAGCCTCGGGGATCTCGCGCGTCCCCGCGTACACGTCTCGTCGGTCCATCTCGCCCTCGGCCGGACAATCGGCGCGCGCCTCGCGTCTCACTGGCGGGTCGCGCGCTCGCGGGACTCTCGTCGTTCGCGTGGCGGGATACGCAACGGACTCGATCGAACGCGTCTACGGGGCAGCCGGACCTCGGCCTCCATCCCCACAACGGCGGCGACGCGTCGGGCACATCGCGCGCTCACTTAGTAGCGCCGGGCGCGACTCATTTCGTCGTCGTCTCTCTCTCTCTCTCTTTTCCTCCCTCGTCAATCCACCCCCGGGGGTGAGTGGCGAGTCTCGCGCAGCCGTCGGCGACTCCGCACCGCAGCAGACGACGGCCCCGCTCGTACGCAGGATTAACGATCGGCGGGCAGTCCACGGCGGTGCCGACGATGCCGTCCCGCGGGAAACGAAGAGGCCGCCGTTCCCGCAACGGAACGCCGCGCCGCGCGCGTCCCGGGGACCCGCGGGACGATTCCAGCCCCGGACGAGACGTGGTGTCCGGCGAGCAGCGAGCGGGGCGAGCGGAGCGACTGTCAAACCGAGCAGACGACAGGAGTGGCCGCCATATTGATTTTAACGGGCGCCGCGAGCTACAACGCCGAGCGTCGCCGAGCGAGGCGGCGGCGCGCAGCCGCCATGTTTACTCCGGGTGCGTTCCGAATAGCTGATCGCGCGCGATCTCTCGAGAATGAAATTTGAGGAGACGAAAAATTAAGTTTGGGACTTTGGGCCGGGGCACACAAATGGCCTTAAGCAATAAGACGTAAGCAGTAAACGAATTGAAGAATATATAATATGGCTGCCATAATTCTCGACTATGATTGGTCAATTCGTTTACTGCTTACGTCTTATTGCTTAAGGCCGTTTGTGTGCCACGGCCCTTTTTTAATCGATAAATCTACTCCTCTTTCGCCCCCGACGTACAATTGTTGTACGTCTGTTCTCGGAGATTCCATACAACTATTTCGACTTCTCCTCGAGAAGTGGGATTCGCGCGCGGCAGTTGGACCAAACATGGCGGACCGTCTCGTCCTCTCCCATCTCGCGGTCCTATCGCGTCGCGCGGACCTGCACTGCACGCCAGCGCGTAGTACCTCGGCCCTAGTGTGGCGGGCTTCGCCATAACGATGTTTTGTTTACATTGGGTGCGCGACGAGGACAGCGACTGCGACAACGACGATTAGGATGCTCGACGAAAATGCGAGAGAAGGATCAGCGATCCGCGAGCGCGGCAGATACGAAGGTAGAGATCTCCCGGGGACTTTCCGTCGATCGGCCCGACGGCAATTGAGGGCCACGTCACGCTCGCTCGAGCCGACCCTCCGCGCGCATCCCAGGCATCCCCGGAATATACGTATACCGGTCGTCGTCGATCGGTACACGCCAATTCGCGCGGGATTGCGTCCGCGCTTGCCGAGACGAGCGTGGCGAAACCGCTCCCGTGGCGACGAGTCGTCCCGCGAGGCGAGAAGCGGTTGATTGACGCGGCGACGTGACGCGAAACGGCGGCGCAGTTTCGCGCCCCGGAAACGCTCGAGAAGGAGCCAACTGTCACGCACGTGCGTCCCGACCGGCGCCTCTCGCGCGCGGAGCCTCGCCTCGAGTCGACGGTTCCGTAATTGACGCGATCAAGGTCTGCGTTCGGAAACGTCACCCGTGTGCATTTGGACGCGCATTAGAAAACCTATAGTCGACGTGATGCCAACTATGGATTTTCTAGGGATCAATTCTGGACGTCAATTCTGTATCGTGCAATGTACTGAAAATGCTAAAAACGAGCGGCTTCCCAGATAGCGCACATAGTTCTATGAATACTCTTCTGGAGTGCAAATCTTCTTAATTTTAGAATATTTGAATCAAATATTCTATAAATATTTATAGATTATTACACTTAGAAATCGTATATTCATAACAAAGAAGAACGTTTTTAGAATATTTTCGGAACATTCGTTCAGAATGATTTTTCATTATTCATCGAGTTTATGTATTATTGTACATTGTTTATTGTGTAATGCACTTATCTTATGCAAAGGATAATGAAACCTGCGATCATACTATATATAACCGACATGCTATATTCGATTGATTATTCTATTCACATTCGAAAAAGATTTATAGTAGTGTCAATCGAATGTTCTATAAACATAAGACAAATATAAAAGAATGGCCTATGGAACATTCCACATATTCTTGAAGAATATTCCTGAGTGTTCACAGGAATCTCTTGTGCTATCTGGGTTTATCTCTTTCTAAGGAGACAGTTGGAGACGAAGCTACTCACTTTTAGCATTTTCACTATAGTATGAGATGCAGAATCTACTCTCTGTATCTAAGAGCATTCTGTTTCACATATAATGCATCACTTATCCTTGTTATTCACCAAATGTTAAAGAAGGATAAATGATGCATCATGCATATCATACGTGAAACGGAACGCACCCTTACAATATAGTAAAAATTGCTAAAAGTGAGCGGCTTCGTCTCTTTCTAACGCGACGTTTACAATGAGACCTTAAGACATATAAGATTTAAGAAATTAATCATAGTCGAATGTGAGGAGAATACTCGACTGTAATTGGTCAGTTTCCTAAATCTTACGTCTTGAAGTCTCATTAGCCATGTTCAGCAGACACAACTGTTGAGTGAGCGCTCACAAGGGGAGGGCCAACATATGTTCTCTCCGATTTTAATGAGCTTGATATATGTTGCAATACTACACCTCCCTTAATAATAGGTAAAACCATTCGACCATACGCTCAAGCATTCGCGAGAAAAATTTATTTAAAATTGTCCACATGCGTATGTACCGAGTCGCTCACAAAATATCTCGCGAATGCTTGAGCGTATGGTCGAATGGTTTTACCTATTATTAAGGGAGGTGTAGTATTGCAACATATATCAAGCTCATTAAAATCGGAGAGAACATATGTTGGCCCTCCCCTTGTCAGTATGATTTGCCACGTTCAGTAGGCACAACTGTTGAGTGAGCGCTCAACGATTTCTTAATATGATTGGCTGGATCTAAAAGTATTAACCAATCATACTGAGCGCTCACTCAACAGTTGTGTCTGCTGAACGCGGCCATTCACTTTTGGCATTTTCACTATAATGTAAGATACAGAATTGACTCCCTAATGTCCGAACGCACCCGCGGGTGGGTGTTTCCGAACGCAGTCGAGGCGGCGACCTTGAGCGTCGTTCATCGAGGAACGCCGAGTACGATCTTTCTCGCGAGAGCGATTTCTCACCGCTCTGCGAGTATCGCGGTGTCGGAAGATACGACGTCGTTGATTGGCGTTCAGCGAATGAAACGCGAGATTATAAACGTCGCGTCGCGCGGAATGGAACACAATGGCGTGAGCAGTTTTACAAACTTCTGACGTCAATCCGTGCTTTCCAGCAAGCGACACAAGTCGACACAAATGTCGTTCTGTCTTTCTTCGCATTCAATGAATAATAAAGACAGAACGACACTTGTGTCGACTTGTGTCGCTTGCTGGAAAGCACGGAATATTACTAATTGTAAGTTGAGAAAAGGGACAAGTTTCGCGCGAGCGAGAAATCGAGTCGCAAGACTGTCATGGTAAAAAGAAGATAAAAAATACAATATAACGCACTTGAAATTCGATCATCGCGATACAAAACAAGAGTGGCAAGAGTTCCGCCATGTCTTGTTAGGCAAGGGCCAGTTTCACAAACGTCGGTTAACTGTTAACCAGAGTTCAGTCGACCACCTATCTTTTTCCTTATTATTTAACGAGAGACGGACAATCAATTATTTGCCCTACAGAAAATGGCGGTGCTCTTGCCTCGCTTTTTCAGCTGGAAGGTCAGCAGTCTAGTGATATACAGAAGTCTGTGTCAGTGACGCACAGACGCACATATATCCTGCTTTATTTACCTAACAAGACATGGCGGAACTCTTGCCTTAAGGCCATTTTACAGTTGCGTAAACGTAGTTGTAGGGTTGTAGGAGTAGAAGTAGTAGTAAGTGTTGTACATAGAGTGAGATACGTCGTAATTGAAGTGAATGATTGGTTAGCTCTTACGTCCTACATCGTTGTAGTCGTGAAAGATCTTAAGTTCAACCATCTTTTGCAACAGGCTTTACAATCGGAAATGTTAGTGTAAAACTGTGTTTTACAACACTGTACAACCGATAACAACCACGTTTACGCAATTGTAGAATGGCCTTTAAGGCCTTCACACATAAAATTCCGTAAGGACGTAAAACGTAAGCGTAAGAAAGTCAACCAATCACAGTCGAGAACGTAATTCTGTTGATTTTCTTACGCTTACGTTTTACATCCTTACGGAATTTTGTGCGTGAAGGCCTTTACAGCTGAAAGGTAGCAGTCTAGTAGTATAAGGAAGTCCGTGGTCGGCTCGCCCGAGAAACGGAAACGTGAGTCGCGCCGCCACCGCTAGGTGCCGGGGCCGGCGCGCGACGGTCTGGCTCGCTGTGTGGACGGCCACCATTGTTGAAACACTGCTTTGGTTGATGCCCCGACGAAATTCGGGCCGAAAATCGTAAATTCGCCCGTGCCCGCGGCGGTAGGGCCTCGTTGCGGTAGGTGCGCGGAAAGTCCGCTCTCGCGTTCGCGGCCGCGTAACGTGTCTCGCCCGCCGGAGCCGTGCCGAACGAGCGGAGGGGAGGCGACGATCGTAGGAGGCACGCGCGCATCCACGGCCGTGTCGTAGTCCGCCGTGTCGACGTCGTCGCAGCGCGACACGACGGCTCGGCCGCCGTCAGCCGGTAGAAACGCAGTGGAATCTTATTGTGCGCGAGCTGCGCGGAGGACGAGGAGGCGCGGCGTCCCGGCGCGCTTCCCCGCCGTCGGCGGGCTTCGTCCCTGCGTGCGTCGTCGTCGTCGTCGTTGCGCGGTCGCTGTCGCGTACGAGGCCGCGCGCACCGCGTACACGTAGAGTCGCATCGCACGTCGTGTAGGCGTTCGCGGCTCGCGGCGCCTAAGCACGACGGAGCGTGCGTGTCGTGCGTGCCGCTCCGTCCCCTCCCCCTCCCGCCCCTCGTTTCCTCCCGTCGCCGTGATCGTCGGAGTCATCGTCGCTGCCGCCGCCGCCGCCGCCGCCGGCTAACGCGACGCCGCGCTGTGCGTGCATGCGTGCGTGCGTACATTCATCCTTCGTGCGTGCACGCTCATTATGTGTGCGTATGTGTGATACGTGAATTCGCTGCTCGTGCCGTTGCTGCTGGCGCGTGGCCTGAAAAGCGTTAGGCACGCCGGTCGTCGCCGCGACATTACCCGCGGTGTGTGATTACTCGCTCGGTGTCCGCTCGCGACGCATACGTCGACGTGCAGGCGCGCGGCGGACGGTGACACGCGGTGGTGCGCTCCTTTCGGAAACGTACGTCGGCGCGGAGCCCGCTGCACGGGTGCTGCCTCCTCCCTACCCTACCCCCTCGCCTCTTTGTCCGTCCCCCCCTTCTCTATCTCTCTCTCTTTCGCGCTCTCCCTCTCGCTCTCGCTCGCGCGCGGTGTGCATAGGTGTCCGCGACGACGCTATCGACGGCCGCGCAAGTGTACAATACGCGTTCCTAATGTACAGTGTACAGTACGTGCAATTTCGTGTGCATTGTTGTTTGTGTGTGTACGCGCGCGTGCCCGCGTGCGTGAGTGCGCGCCGCACTCGCTCTCTCGGTATCTGCCTCCCCTCCCCCGTTTCTCCCTCACCCCCCGAGACGGCGTGTACGCGCGGTGTGCGTGCCGCCGGAATTCGCGAGACGCACGCCGCCGCCGCCGCCGCCGCCGCCGCCGTGGCCGGATTCACGGAGCGGCGATCGCGAGCATGTGATACCGGGCGATAACCGTGTAGACGCGGCCGAATGTCACCAGTGGCGACGTTGACGTACTCGCGGGGACGTACGGCGACGACAACGGACGCGAGAGAGGTGCCAGTTCGGCCGATCCGCGGACCGTTAAGCGCGTACCCTCCGGTTTCTGCTCCGACTTTCGCGCGACCCGAACGGATCTTCTTTATTCGTCTCCCCCCGTCCCGTTTGCGCGCTCTCTCTCTCTCTCCTCTCCTCTCCTCTCCTCTCGCCTCGCCTCGCCTCGCCTCTCTTTTGCTCTCCTCTCCGACATTGATACCTCGATCGCGCCACGTTACTTCCCGACGGGTGTCGCGGAATCGGTGTGAACAGGCGGGCCCAGGCGCACTTCTGCGACGCCTTGAAAAGGAAAAAAAAGAAGTTGCCCGCGGAGTACGTTGGTCCCGCGTGACGGCCGCGCTCGAAGGCGCGCATACTGACGAGCCGCCGATACGGATAATAGCTGTTTTGATAGTCTGTGTCAATGGGTCGTGTGAATAAAAGCGAGGCGCGCGCTCTTCACGGGAAGGTGGAAGCCGCGTGTGCCTGTGCGTGCGTTGCGCGCGTGTACGTTTCGGAAGAAAAAAAAAGGGCCGACGCACAAGCGTGATCCGCCGTGTGCCCTTCGCGCCCTAGAAACATTCCGTTCCGCAGCCAATTAACGCGCTTAGAGAAATTGGCGCGAGTTAACGGATTACGCATCGTGCGCGCGATCGGCGTACGTTGTCGATAATTTTTTTTCAAGCGTTTTGATTTGCCTAATCGTACGTAAAATGGCACGTTTCCGGATGCAATGAGCGCGTTGTAGATCAGGTGCCGTGCCCCAGGTCTCTCCTTTGCCCTCTTCCTCGGCGAAGCGCGTCTGCGAGTACCCGAAAAAAAAAATGAAATAACGTAAACAGCGTAAACGTGATCTCGCGCGTTTCTGAATGGGACGGACTTTTGTCTCCTTGTCGTTGAAGGTATCGAGGGGGGTCACTTCTGTACCTCGCGACACAGTGAAAACGCTAAAGCCTAATCTGCAATGTGCTTCCTGCGCCTAGAAACGTTCTGTTTCATATAAACAAGTGAAAACGCTCAAAAAATTGATCGACAGTGTGCGATTATACGATGTACAATTGATGAAATTTTTTCAACGTATTTATAAAACGAAATGTTTCTAGACGCACACTGTAGATTAGGCTTAGGAGTCTCTTTCTAACTGAGAGACAAAGCCGCTCGCTCTTAGCATTTTCGCTGCGGTGTAAAACACAGAATCAACCCCCTGGATCCCGCGCGCGGGTGACGCTCCGTTCACTGTTTGAGCTACTGCGACTCCTTTCCCAGACAGCATGCATGTCTGCAAGACATCTTTGAGGCCCGGTTTTTCATTTTCTGGTTAATTGTTGGCCAGAGGTTCTGAGATTCTCAGATCAGACAATAACGTAGAAAAAGATGGAGGGTCGACTAACTTCTGGTTTGCTGTTGATAACTGTCGAGGGGGGAAACCGCTGAGGGCACTGTGGTGTACAGATTTGTGGCATTACTGGGCATTATTAGGCATAGTTGGCATCAGGCCTTGCTGGGGCATTGTAAAGATAAAATAAGATAAGGCAATGCCCACTAGTGAGGCATTGGTGTACAAGATTTTGGTCAGCGGTTTCCCCCTCGATAACTGTTAACCAGAAGTTAGTCGACCCTCCATCTTTTTCTACGTCGTTATCTAAGAAGAGACGGAGAGTCGACCAAAACCTCTGGTTAACGATTAGCCAGAAACTGAAAAACTGGGCCCGAGTTGTCTCCTATGCCCGTTTCTACCAACGCAGCTTAACGTTAGTCTTCAACCTCGTATGTTTTTCTCGTTTTAGCAGTTAGAAACAGATAAGAGGTAACTTAAACCCAGATTGAAGGTAATCTGCATTGGTAGAAACGGGGTATTAGACATGCACGTCTAAAAGATGTGTTAAAGATATACTTATGACATGTTTTTGTAGACATGTGTGCCGTCTGGGTTGCGTCAAGTGTCAGCAGCTTGCTCGAGCCACCGTGTGCAATATCGCGCGTGACCCGCGGAAATCGTAGCCTAGGCTCCTCCCCGCGATGTTGCTCTAGATCGGTAAGAGAAATGTCTCTGTTGTGATTACAGAATCTCTGCGAGCGTCCGAACGTGTATCGCTAGAAGAAAAGTTTGCTAAGTTTCCGGATATAGAGCGATATTACCACTATTGTCGGGATACAAATGAGAGTAGCCCAGACCTACAGTATGGTGTGAGTTGTCACGACTCTTCTATCGTTTCCAGCAATGGTAAAATGCAACTTTATTGTGCTATAATTTGTTTCTCTTGTACCCGTTCAAGGCCCCAAAGCGATTGCCATAACTAATTACAATGTAAATCGCAGCGTTATTCATTTCGAATTGTAAAATAAATCTTGATGCAAATATCGCCGACTGTCTGTTGCTTCCTGACATTTTCAAATTGTACTAGCCTGTGTTATTCCACCGCGTATTATGACGAAACTTGTGGCAAACGGTGTTTTACGATTGACTCTTTGTTTCTAGGGCTACACGTATTTGACGTTGCGCCACAATGGGCGCTACCGAACAATTTTATGCAGTGGATCGATCTGCAAGCATTGGTAGCACATAATACCGTGCTGGATATATATGACTTGTATCGCAAAACGAAAGATACCACGGAATCTATTAATCTAAACTCGATATATAGCCCTGCAAAGTTGTCATCGACAGCACGACACGATGATAGGATAGTGAATTCTAACGTACTGACTGGTACAGTCGATGAATCACTATCCGGAAACACGGGAAACCTGCGGAAGGAACGGAAGAACGGGCTGAGTAACTGCCAGAAGGATTTCGGTGAGGGGGCAAACTCTAATGCGCTAGACATCGGTAAAACGACGGAACCCACGTATTCGTTCGTGAGAAATAAAGCCACAATTTTGTCCGAGTCGCAGAGAGAAATTTGTTACGACGCAAATACCGGGTTGCTTAGTCGCGTGTCAAAGCGTCCGATCGACACGGGAAGCGTTGCCGGATTGGGAGCCACGTCGGACAATATTGAGCACGATAAAGAAACTTGTGACCCTGATTGCACCACTTCTGTAGCAGATAACGAGCCGCTTAATTTAGTAGTAAATCCGAGAGGAAGTAGACAGCGCAGCCATACTTATAGCGAGACGAAAGATCGACTCTGCAATTATCCGCATTCGTCGAGCGTCGATAAAAAGACACTCCTGGTAGATGGTGCCATTTTAAGACAATTAGACCATTCCCCCGATGTACAGAGTTTTTATAGCGCAAAGTACAAGACAGTAGATTACGGTTTATTGAAGCTTTCCGATTTGAACGAGTTGTCATGTAATTCGGACAAAGGTAAAGAACTACTGAGGGCCATCGGTAAATTTCATGCCGGTAGCGGTGAGGTAAATGGCAAGGTTCTGAAAAACGGCGATTTGAAGCAAGAGAGCGTGCATGTTCTGGATAAGTACGTCACGCATGTATTACCGTCACGCTTGAGTGACAGTAAATCGAAGGCGTCATCTTGGACAAACTTACAGTCGAATGTCAAATGTAACAGTATCAAGAAAGAATGCTGCAGTGAGGAAGAGGCGCACAAGTCAGAGAATACCGATCTAGTGGCCGCCTGCAACCCGAGGTTGAGCAATTGGGCGTGTTTCGAAATGTCAGGACAGTATCCGGGTCACAGCCGACCACCGGTTGGCACACCTCCACCGCAGACCGTCTGGAACCATCTCACTATGACGCCGGGTCAAGGTAGTTTTAATTTCCAAATATTTTACACGATGTCTTTCCACCCCCACCCCCCCCGTAATGTCGCGATAAATTAATCGTGACAATTGCACATATTTTCAGCTCTCAATATCCACTCGACGTTGTCCGGTGCCTCGTTGAGTCCAGCTGGATTCTACACGCATCCATCCATGGCACGAGCGTCCCATCTGCCATCTCAGCTTACCCCGCAGCTCGCTCACACGCAAGCACCGCCGACATGGCATACACCCACGGTACCCTCAAAGAACGCCACGCCGGCCAACACGCCGGGCAATCCCCTGTTCAGTTTACAAATGTTGGTGGACAATCGGCAAAATCAAAATCAGTACAGAAACTCGCCAGGCTCGCAGAGCACCTTGGATCTCTCGTCCACGTCGGAGATCACTTCGGAGAATTACTCTCGGATAACGCAGGATATTCCCATCAGCTTGACCGCGAGAAATGTGGATAAGGGCAGTCGAAACGGAAACATAATCTCACCACCGATACCGCTTAACGGGGAGACCTCGTCGGACAGCGGAATTAGTTCGTCCGTACCAACGCCAAACTCCGTCAGCGAACCGGTCTCGCTGTCGACGAAGGAGGTCTCTACTCCTAAGATAACAGTGAAAAACTTTGAGAGCAATCTAAAGGGAGTTGCGAATCTTCACGATAAGATTAAGGAAATGAATGTAGATAATTTTACGCAGAAAGTGATAAATTTGCCGCCTAGTGTAACAATAGAGAGGGTGGTCGCGGACAAGAAAGAATCCGAAGCTTCTGCAAAAGCCAAGGATATGTTGAGTGTTATCGCGCAAGTGCCAAGGAACGTCCTACCACCTGTTATAGTCAATCTCACGTCCAAGATGGAGAAAGACGTCACGGACAGTCCTAAGCGAGAATCCTCCTCCGAGAGGGACAGAAAGCACGAGGAGACGAGCGTGAGGTCACCTAAGAACTTGCCGAAGAGAGGCAAAAAGGGCGTCGATTCTCTGTTGGAAAAGCTAGAAGGTGGGAACAAGAAGTACGTGAGTACCGAGAATATCGGTTCGGTGATCGTAATGGCGATAGAGGAGAAGGACACGTCCAGCGTTAAGAGTATGTCGCCGGAGAGACAGAAGTCTAAATCGCCGACTCGGGAGGACGAGGTGGTGTCGCCGGCTTTCAGCAACGACGACTCGAACGACAACACCAAGCAACGTAGAAAACGAAAACTGGAGAAACCTGTGAGGCTGAGCAAGGACTCGAAGACAGAGGTCGAGGACATGGAACTCGAGCCCACGGAGCCGACGGAACCGAGGACTGTTGACCCGTCGTTGGAAGAGACAACCAGCTCCACGGTCGCGGCCGACGTTAAAACGCAGGAGCAGCTCGCCAGAGGAGCGGAGGAGAGAATATCGGACAAGGCAGCGTTGGACGAGATCACGGGGGAAAGATCGGAGGAGAGTCGGCCGATTCGAAGGCGGAGTAGTAGCGAGGAGACTACGACTAGCAACTCGACACCGACGACTCAGAGGACACGAAGAAAATCCAACGAGGACGCATCGCCCGAGTTCCCGAAAGCGATGAGTCCAAAGGATACGAGTAACACGACAACGGCGACGTCGGCGACGACGAATCCCTTCGTCGAGGTCGAGTCGGAACTGGCGAAGATGTTCGCCGGTATCGTGGAAGCGGATCCGGAGGTCAAAAATGAAGAATCAAAAGCGGAACTCGCGAGCGCGCAGATCCAAGGTGACGGCGCCCCGGTGAAATTCGAGGGTCTTGAGAATAGTATCCTACCGATGACAGATTCTCAGAACGTTCAGAGCAATCCCATCGATGTTTCCTCCACGGTGGACACCAAGTTGTCGGGGAAAAGGGGTAAGAGGGGCAAGATGCAGGGTGGTAAGAGAAAGATCTCCAGGTCGACGGAGAACATCTTTGGCACGACGGACGACTCTCCGCAGAAAGAGGTGAAGAAGAGACGAACGTCCAAAGGTTCGAAGAAGCAGGACCAAGCGTCGAAGAAAGCGAAGAAGAACACCAAGATTGACGGCCTGCGGGAGATGGCGTACGATTCGGGCTCGAACGCGAGTTCGATCAGGTCGCGAGGGCCGGTGGTCCACGTGGAGGGGCCAAGGGATAGTCCATTGAGCATCCAAGTGGTAAACGCACCACGGGAAGACGAGGAGGAGAAGAGCAAGGAGAAGCGGAAAAGCGTCGGCAACGGAAACGGGGGCCGAAGCAAGAGGCTCAGTCATCAAAACGATTTAGATTACAGGGGTACGTACGTCTGCAAGACGAAAAGACATTTCTCCCTCGTTCTCTCATTGTTATTCACTATCATTGTTATTCGCAGGTAAAGTCAGTAGAGCAGGTCTCTTCAGTTCGACGTTGTCCTCGCGATACGACGCGCATACTACGGACTCGACTTGGGTCTGCGTATTTTGCAAGCAAGGTCCCCATTCGGTTGTAGCTGGAGATCCGTCCAGGCCGCATCCGAATTTGGCCGGACCGCATATCGCGACTGGAACGTACACGGTACGTGTACATTCTTCTTTTCGAATGGCTTATTGCGTCCCAGTACTTGGGACATTTAAACCCGAAACACTATTTTATTATCTGATTCTCTCGTATCACATCGAGCATGATTGCAATTTTCACATTATACTCCATAATGATAAAACAAAGTAAGATTTAAAAATGTTATTTGACGCTAAATACCGTTAGAAGCGAGGAGTCGCGCAAGAACGGAGCGAATAATGTGGTAAATGTCTGCGACAGGTTCCAGCTGGCGTGTTAAGCGACTTATTTGGCCCATATTTGATCGGCAAGGAGCGATTGGAGGACGGCATTTTATCGGCCGACGAACAGGAAATTATGACGGAACAGAAGAAAGGCGGTAAGAACAAGAGGAGCTTGAGGTACGCGGGTCTGGCCGACCAGTTCTCCGCGAAGATGGGCAAGAAGAAGCGGAATTCCGTTGAAAGTAACACTAACACCATTTTTACGGGTATGACTCTGCATCCCGGCGGGGAGGAACAACGGTGGGAGGTGTGGCTTCACGAGCAGTGCGCGGTATGGGCGGCCGGGGTATACATGGCGGGTAAGTAAACGTCAGAATGATTAAGACTGACGAGAAAGCGGCACGTGGATGTAATTATACTTGTACAACTCGCAAGAGCTCGTAATACGCGTAACAAGAAAATTGGGATTGTGCTTGGCAGGTGGCAGGGTGACAGGATTGCAGGAAGCTGTGTGGGACGCCGCTAAATCAGTATGCGACTCCTGCGGCTTGACAGGCGCGAATATCGGTTGCGTGAGGCGTGGCTGTAAAGCTGTCTCGCATTATCCGTGCGCGCTGACGAAAGGCTGGCACCTCGACACAAATCAGTACATACCTAAGTGTAATCTGCATCGAGTTACGTGAAACGCCGGTGAGTCTATGAGCATAGGCTAATATGGAAGTAGGTCGTATTCACATTATATCACACTGAGATTCGGCTTTAATTAGATGCACCGAATAATGGGCAATAATGTAAGAGACTTAAGTATATAAATCCGTTTATGACTGAAGATAGCCTTACTAGTTAGTAAGGTATGTTCTAGTTAATAAAGGAGCAAAACATCCTCATGCGACAGAATTGGTTTGTGTGTAACGTAACAAAGTTACATCGGGACGTAATTAACGGGTGGGAAAGAATTAATCGGCGTAAAATAGATGATATTTAAAATACTAAAGTATATTGACATATTGTTGATTAAATATTTTATTTTTTCTGTTCGAAATTCGAGATAAATCGACTTTTTATTTGACGTTGAATTGGAATTGTCTAATCATGCAGTGATGTTTTGAGCTTGTACTCCTTGTATTACTTGACGCATAAATGTATCTGCAGCATTAAAGTATAAATGCAAATACAATTGTACTAATTTCCGGACATCAAGTTTAGAATCAATATGCTCGAGAAAAATATCTTCCAATGTACAAGATGTTTAAACATTATGAAAAGGAACAAAGATGACCGAGGAAATAGGTATTTTTCTTCGTGATTAAACTTAATTTGATTTTTTTGGCCTGTGTGGCCTTGAATGGTGGCCTTTTCGACTTAATATATAAACCAGATATAAAAGCAAGATTTTTAATTTCGAATTTATAGAATAAACGGATCGCTATCGAGGAACAATGATAATCAAAAATAAAGACGTTTGCTTTTTTACTCACGTTTATGAAGATCTAAAACTATCGCAGATTTTCTTAACAACATCATGTACGCAGGAATACACGAATAGGGCATATTGTATTTAATATTATCGACAACTGTAAAATTGTGACAGTAAAAATCAGACACGTATAAATATAGTAAGACGAAGTAAGTCAATAATGTAAGCGAAAATTGAATATTCTCTTTTCTTTTTCGCAAAGGTTCAGCATAAACATGTAAGGCAAGTGTTCTCTGATAAATGTAAAATCAACTGTTTGTAAATAACAAGAATAAAGGGACTATTGTATTATTGAAACATCATAATTACACTTTGCAGTTTTTAGAAAACTTTGCATGTATTATTTGTGAATAAAAATAATGCATACATATGTTTCATGACAAAGTAGCCTTATAATTGATGGGTTCTATTTTCTTTTGTTTATATCGCTACGTGATTCATTAGCTCATATGTATAGCTTAGCACATATGATGATCGTCCATATAAAGTCTACCTTTTGTTACATTTTGATATTGATATTCCTTTTGTAGCTGCTTTATCGTGCAAATTTTTATGTAATTGTGCATGTTACAACGGGTTGACAATTTCTTGAAGAGAAATATTTTTGTACTCGCATTGAGCGAGATAATTAAGATGAGAACACTTGTGAGACTTTAGTAGCGCTGTATGTGTAATATAAATGTAACAAAGAACACATCTCATTGCATTCAGCGATACGTTTTGTATCGCGTCACATTCACCGTTATACTTTATCATCTTTAATACATCTGTACGGTCGCGAAACCAGTGATTCAGATTCAATGTCCCAAACATGATTCATTGCTAGCTTAAATTAATAACTCTGCATCAGTGCGGAATTTGTAATAATTATATGTATGTATATTTTATATTAATTTTCTTTGTCATATTGATACGAAAATTTATTGTCGTCATCTTTGCTGTCATTGTTGTCGTCATCATCGTTCTCATTGTATTCTACAAGTGTAAGAGAGGCAGGTTTTCGCTACACAAATGTAAGAATATTAACAATTCTCTTACATCAGGGAGAACTAGCAAAGATCAAGAAAATTGTATAAAAATAATATTATATAGAAAGGTACGATGTATATATATGTAATATTCATTTGTGTAGAAAAAGGTATATATACATATATCATATATGTGTAATATGTGTATATATATAATACATACATCTCTATGTGTATATATGTGTGTGTGAAAGATGCACATCTCTAACACTTATATATATTTATACACTTATGTATGATTATATATATATGTGTATGCATATATACATATATAAATATACGCCACACAAATTAAGTACATATTGAAAATAGCCGTCACGTCTCCCACACAGCACAGAGTACGATAAAAATTAGAAATATAATCATTTTTAAATAGTAACTATATATTCAGAGACGAAGAGAAAATTATTAAGCGTAAAAAAAAACAGATTCTTTGTACATACATAGTGCGTAGCAACAAATGTAAAAAAGAACGACTATCTCTGAGAACATTTTATTTAGAAGCTTAATGTTTTAAAGGAATAGTAATAAAAAGAAATGACACGTTCACACTTCAGAAAAACAGTACATAAAGCCTAATTTTCTTTTTTTTTGTGAGACTCTTTTGAGACGGTTTCGACACTCCTCGGCATTAAGGGTGGTCTTTGTATAAAACAGACGGATGCAGCCAAAAAATACCGCTTAGATGTAATAAGAGAGATATTGAATTGTAAACGAAACGCTTATAATCTACAATTGTGTATGAAAGGGAAACAAAATTTTATCGTAGAAGGAGTAACTGTAATATTAATCATTACTTGTGATACAAAGGAAGGAAGGAAGGAAGGAGACAAATTCCGGAGTGAAAACGACGAGCAAGAATATATTTTCAGCTCGTTTCTTCGTCGTCGAGCGCGCACGGCCCTGCGTACACGGAGGTGGTTCGCGGCGTGCGTCCCTCTCGTGTACAGTAGAACTTTTGTAGCATGTCAGTAATGTAGCGTTGTGTACATTGTCACTTAGTCTTGTGGATAGGTAAAGTCTAAGGGCAGTTACTGCGTCACCGAGTTTGTAGAAAGCGAAAAAAGTCCTTTAGGGACCTCTCCGTCTGGGGGTCCCTCGCTCCGTGCGCAGAGCCGTGCGCGCCGAGACACGCGCTGCGGGACAACAAGCGTCTTTGTCGCGTTTATTATTATTATTATCTTGACGATTTGTATAAATGAGACGTACTTGCGGCTTGTAAATTGCACGTTACGAGTGAGAGGCGTAGGCGTGAGGCGTCAAGACGAGAGTAGTCGAGCGCAGAGAGAAACCTGAATATCACGATGCCTAAGTAATTTGTATAAAAAGGAACGAGGGAAGGATGAATCTGTAAAGTAAAAAGAAAATACACGAGAACGTGTCGCGCGCCGTGTGTGGGCATGTGGGGAGAATAATCGCGGCAGCGACAGTCACTATGTGAATTGGCAGCAGCAACGGAAGCATCATCGTTATCGTTAGGACGAGAACGAGAGGATTAGGTATCTCTTTATTCCTGATCTTCGCGCGTATACTTTAAGTCTAATTTCGTTTTTTTTTCCTTTAGAGTTTACTTTTTCCTCTTTCTCCCGGCTTTTCCTCCGCTCCACCTGTCTCTCACTTTCTCTCCGTTCTACTCTCTGGCTTTCGTCTGTCCTGTCGTATTCCTCTTCTTTCTCGAATCGAATAGATGTACCCAATCTTTTTTTGTGACCTGGTTTAATGTAATAATTATTAAGAGAGATATTGGTTAAACTCTATTTAATAATACGGAAATGGTAGAGAAATCGGCGAATTGTATTTGAAGATCAACACAATAATACGATTAAGAGAGAAAAATATACATCTTTGTGTAATATAAATATAATAAATAATAAAAACACGATATGTGCGCGTGCTGTATGTGTGCGTGTGCCATAAGCTACTGCGGGCTAAAATTACCTAATTATGATTATACATATCTCAACCGCTGCCGTTGTAATAACGACAGGATTTTTCATGACTTCGCGTGGGACAGTGATATTTATCAAAATACGAGCCATTTCTGCGGGTTTCGTAGTTCGCGCGCATCTTTGAAAAAAATCTGCCGTGCATCTAGCGCCCTCTCGTTAACTGTCTTCCGGTTTAGATATTTCCGGATCGAACGCGACGCACTCTGTGTCTCCAGAGAGAAACCTGAGAGCGGCCACGCCGGCATTTTACTTGAGACTGTTTTGCGCGCCTTTACGCCCATTTTTACTTTTGGAACTAGTTTGCTATGCATTTTCTAACACTGCCGATAAAGTCAACACTTTATGCGTGTCCGTGCTACGCATATTTTTCAGGATTATGCTGTGAAATTTAAAATTACATTAACATAAATTATCTGCATGATATTTACGTCAACTTTTTTCAGGTAGACAATGTAAATTTTATAAATTGTATGCCAGAATGCACAGCACAGACATGCATCAGAAAATGCGTAATGAAACAGTTCCAAAAGTAAAAATTGGCGTAAAAGCGCGCAAAACAGTCCCGGAAGAGGTAGGGAACACGCAGTCTATTCTTACTATGTCTTGACTAATCACAGTCGCGTATTCTACTCATACTTGACCGTGATTGGTCAATTTCTTAAAGCTTAGGGCTTGAATTATCTATTGTAGACTGGCACTTAAGGCTGGTTTATGCAAGGCCGTGACTATTAACTTACGCCGGAATCGATAAAAATTGTTCAATCACCATTAAAAGTGAAGAAAATAGTTGACTGTAATCGGTGAATTTTTACTGATTCCGAAGTTAACGGTTACGTCCTTTCATAAACCAGCCTTTACGGATCGTTCTCTGCCATCAGCCTCGCTGGCCTCGCTTGCGCGCGTAGCGCTTCGGCCTACCTGATTGTCAGCTGCGAGAGGTCGCCACGGCCGTCTCCGCCGAAGCGACTGTAACGAGGCACGCGAGCGTCGCCGCGGCCAGTCGCGGCGCTCCGCTGCAATTTGCTGCAGTTTGTCATCGAACGTCGCGCCGTGTGGACGTGCCGTCGCGCGCCGTCGCGAATGTAACAGAGCGGACCGATTATGAGCTCGCGCGGTGTCGCGCCGTGATCTCTCGCCGCCGCAGCCGGGGAATTATGTCGACTCGGAGAAATGGGTAATTTGGCGACGCTACTAGTGAAGTTCGGTGCCGCGTTCCTCCTCGCCTGTCACGCGGATTACGGCCTGGCCCAGGACAACGCGACTGGTAAGAGAAGACCGTGAGACCGCATCATTCCGCGTTTTCATGCCTCGCGTGACAATGCCCCGCGTCGGCGGGCACGCACGTGGAGCACCCGGCCGCGCTGCGTCTATGTACATACGCACAGCCGGACGTTTCGGTTTGTTAATTATGCAGGGACGGTTGATTATGCTAACGATACAAATCGGAACCTCGCACGGGGAGAAAACGAGTCGAGACAGAGGTCCCTTCCGAAAACGTGAATTTCAAACTGTTACCTCGCGTTAACGGCAGTCCAAGTGTAAATTAAAAGTTACGTTCTAGCAAAAAAGAAAAGTGCGCGAGGTAATTTTGAAACCGTCAAACAGGATTGTTCGTAAAGTATCGAGAAATTCCCATATTTTCTCAGGTAGAATCTTTTCGCACTTAAATGGTATTTTTATGTTTAAATACAATGTTTTCTTATGCTCCGACATGCGTACGTTGATGTGAATTCATCGAGAGAAAATAGAAAATCATTAATTCCCTGGCTTCTTAAATGCGAGTGTCTTGGAAACACAGCGCGACGGGATTTTGTCCCACATTCTCGACTTGCTTTCTCACGTGGGATTATCTGCGCCTCATTACGCCATCAATAACAGATCATGTTGCATACATAACATGCAAAATGAAAAATAAACACAAGTGCACACGAAAAATATTATTAGTAAGATAGCCAACCGTCCCGAATCTTGAACATACATTGGGGTTCCTTTGTTAAAAGATTTGCCTTTAATCGCATGATAAATAATGTGGTGCCATCACGACGAATGCTCGGCTTACTTTTCATCGGGCGCGAGAGACATTTCTTGCGGAAGCATATTTTTATTGTTACTTTGAATTTTGTTCAATTGTATATTTCGTAAGCTCAAGTGCCATTGAAAAAGCCCGATTTCTTTGGTTCCAATTCGAGGGGAAAACCGCCGAGGGCATTGTGGTGTTCAGATTTGCGGCGTTACTGGGCATTACTAGGCATTTTTTAGCATTTTTTGGGCATTAGGTCTTGCTGGGGCATTATAAAGATAAGATTAAATAAGATAAAACAAAATAAATTTGATAAAATAAGATAATAAGATAAAGTAATGCCCACTGGGCACATTAGTAAGCATCGGTGTACAAGATTTTGGTCAGCGGTTTCCCCCTCGTTCCAATTTTTTAAGATCGATCTCCCGAAAGCACGATGGACGTTCAGTTTACTTGTTATTGGTCGCGAGAAATATCTCTCGCAAAAGCCTATTTTATTCGTTACATTTGCTTTTAATTTCGTTCAATTGTATTTCGCCAATTTTTTAAGATCGATCTCCCGAAATTTGGCGACCAAGAGTCCATGCAGCACGCATGTCTAAAAGACATCTTTAAGACGTCTATTAAGTCGTCTTTCAGATAGGTGTGTCTAAAAGACGACTTAAAGGTGTCTTAAAGATGTCTTTTAGACATGCGTGCTGTATGGGAGTTCAGTCACCCTAATTATTAGGCACAGAAGTGCCGATACGAGCGTATCTCGGCACATTTTCTACTTACTGGGTCAGGAAAACGATCATAACTCACTTAACACTTTACGTTTTCGTTGCTCGTAAGCGGTTACGAAGCGATTACGTGCGCACGCTCGGTGCGAAACGCGTTTGAACACGCGCGCGCGCCGAAACGTATAACATTATTTTGTAACAATGCTGCAACACAAAGAAAAATCACCGTTCGCCGCGCGGCCTGAAAATTAGGCAACGATTCAACCGTGACCATGAGGCGTGATTCTTTTCACTGCGCCGAGTAAAGTGTTCGTTGCATCTCTATCGCGTGTGCAGTCCTATCAAAATACACCGGCGAACGTGCGTTTCGCTCCGGAGCTGCGAGCGATAGTCAAGGTAGCCGCGATACGAACATCAGTTAATTACATTCATTAAACATTATTAACTTTGCTCGTTTTTCGTATGTTCGGTGCCTGGTATGCCGGACCGTTTAAAATTTTGCATGCTCGATACGTTTCTTTGAAAAATCGCACGGTATTCGTTGCAGAGCGGGGTACGATCCGTTTCGGAGCGAGGTATCTCGAGCGTTGTATCCGAGGGGTTCATTAAAATTGCACGCATGGAGATTAAATTACTATGCTTCATCAACAAACGTGGACGCTATAATTTCAGATTCACGGCGCGCATCTCGAGTTTTAGAAGTGCTCGATCTCATTAACTTGACGAGCCTATTATACGTTAGAATTGCAGTACGTGGAATATTAAAACGATATGTTATATCAGTTGAGTTGATTACAAAACCTACATTGTGTCAGTCGAAAAGTTTTCCCTCCAAGTTTTCTTTGATGTCAGCACCGTAATTTGATTTTTAGCAGTTGATTCTTCCACGAAGTAATGTTCCTTTGAAAGGAAATAAATAATTGTCCCGTGTTGTAGCTAATGTTATTACCGTAAATAGGGAAAATAAGTTAACATAATGTATCACTATCTAGCGACGGATCTCTGTGAAACTCTGACCGAGGGGTAAACCGCTGAAGTCATTGTGGCGTACAGATTTGCGGCATTATTGGGCATTAGGCCCCTTGCCGGGGCATTGTAAACATAAAATAAGATAAATAGCATAAAATAAGATAATAAGATATAATAATGTCCACTGGGCATTAGTAGGCATTGGTGCATACGTGATTTTGGTCAGCGATTTATCTCGACTCTGACAATGAGTGTTACACCGTTTACCATTAATAGAACTTAGCAAGTTGGTTCATAAGATTAAAAAATCTCGTTTCTGAAGAAAAAAAAACACTGTGACTTAACGCAATTTACCTCTAAACTGCTCAACTTGTAAAGTTGGATTTTTTAGGTGCCAACTTTACAGCTGACGTTTTCTCCGAAATATAGGCGATTTTTATCGAACAGTTTTAATATTCTTGAGTCGAATTAACCAACAGTAATTAGTTAAATTAAATCGTTCCAGCCGTAACATTATGAATGCAATTCTAAAACGGCAGAGAAACTATTCGAGTGAGAGCAACTTTTGACTCTCCCGTTCGGTAAATTGCTTAAATTTCCGCAGTAGGCACCGAAATTTCTTTCGCGCGTTTTCGCTCCTGACATTAAGCGTAAGTAATATTGTATTCAACGCGACAGCTCCAGCCTCTCTTAAGAGTTTAAATTGCTCTACGGCTTAATTACGCGTGCCTTGAGTTAAGAGACCTCGCCGTAATAACTGTCGGGAGTCTAGCTGCATCGTTTGTGAATCCTTGCCAGCTTCGTAGCGTGTACAAAACGCGAGCGCGATAGGAGGAACGCGTAATCATCTCCAGACCTATTAATTCCATTCTGAGTTTCACGTGACTTCTTGAATTACGGCTCGTCCGTTTGACGCTTTAGATCTCACGAGAGCAGTTAATCGGGAAAAATATATTAAGCTGTTTTTAGAACTTTACATGTAAAGTTCGCGCGTCCCTCGACTGCCTTGTTTTATTAACCAAAACTGTACGTTTAGCCTGTTGAAAACTATGTAACTATTTAAAATAAACAGTGCGAACGAGAGCGTTAATCGGGAAAAACATATAAAGTTTTTTAGCAGTCAAAATTACATGTTTATCCTGTTCAGAACTACAGACCTACCTGTTTGAAACAAAGACAGTGCAAACGAAAGCGCTGCAATTAATCGGGGGAAAAAAATATATGAAGCTTTTGAGAACTTTACATAAACGCGTAACGTTTGCACATTCCTCGAAGTTCTTGCTTTAGCAGTCAAAAGTACATATGTTCATCCTGTTCAGAACTACAGAACTGTCTGAAATAAAGACAGGGTGCTCTCGATAATTAATAAAGTTTCCGCAAAGCGATACGCCAGGCCTCGCGTACATCATCGCCTTTGGCGACTTCTAAGAGGGCGAGTCGAAGCTGGGGTGGGCGAGTTCGCGTACGATTTTAGCAACATCCTCGCGTCCTCGCGAGAGGGGAGGTGTCTTTTCGCGGGGGGACGCCCGTTTATTTCTGCCTTTGTGCAACGCGGTGGCGTTCTCGCGCGTGACGGACGCCGCGTTCCTTCCTGAAGGCGAGCGCACGAAGCGCGCGGTGGCTCGCCATCAGGCCGGTGGCCGGCGTAGCCGTCTCAACCGCTAATTGTTGCACAATGCTCTCTCGCGAGTTCACAGGTGCATTGCACCAGAAATCCTCTCCCGGTACTCGCTTTGCTCGCCTCTCCCGGTACTCGCGCCGCTCAATGGCGTAGAGAGTGCCATTATACGCTGGAAATGGATTGCGAGAGCGTCGTAGCTATCCTAGGAACGTGACGGATAAGAGATCTTGCCTCTCGAGAGATCTCTTAATCTGTAATCCGTAAATGCGCGAGCTCTCCTCGTTATTTCCTTTGCACTCGAGATTTTTCGAAAACCGTGGTAAACAATGCGGTGAAATAACGAGAAAGCCGTCTCTCATTCATCGAAATGCAGCTTTATGCTTGAGCAAAAGATAAAAAGAATCGACGATGCAATTGCAGCTGTACAATTATACAATATTCTTATTCGAGTAATCGTGCAGGATACAACGCACCTTGTGCAACGTACTTATGCGTATTAGAAACTCGAGACTTCTTTTTGTCTTCGAAGCCCCCCCTGATTACGCCCGATGCGATTTTCTACATCGATTTACCGACGAAATCTCGCTGCGATCAGAAACACTATATTTCTCGCCGTTTTGAAGATCGCGGAACGATAATTGCGTCTAGCTTGCTTGGCGGGAGGGTATGAAAAGTTCGCTTTCTTATTTACGCCACTGGTGCCGCGATTAGGTCGATGTGTCTGTCTCGTTGGTGGAAGTGAAAGGACGAGAACCGTTTTCGCGTTTGCCCGACCGTGCTCTTATATGTGCCGCGAGCACATGCCGCGACTTGGAAAACTCAGCCGTAATCACGGCCCTGACCGGTACGAACCAGGCCGCGTCGCAAATCTGTATGAACCCTTCAGCCGTCGCGCTATTTTTCATAACGCGAGTCGACGTGTGGAGTCTTGA